CCACCAACAACGTATGAGAGTTCCTTTTTCTCCGCAACCTTGCCAGCATTTATCATTCAAAGTCTTGGATTTTAGCCATCCTCACTGGGGTGAGATGGTATCTCAGTGTAGTTTTGATTTGCATTTCCCAGAAGCTGAGTGATGTTGAGCATTTTTTCATATGACTGTTGGCCATTTGTATATCTTCCTTAGAGAATTGCCTACTTACCTCTTTTGCCCATTTTTTTTATTGGATTGCTTGTTTTTTTATTGTAAAGTTGTTTAAGTTCCTTGTATATTCTGGCTATTAATCCTTTGTCAGATGAGATTTGTAATTTTATAATTAACAATCCAATAATATACTGATAGATTTTAGAATTTACACATTTATTTTATAAAAGTATATGAAATGCTTAAAGATAGGGTTTTAAAAATTTTTGGTGAGATTATTTGAATTTGAGTAGTTGAAATCTTTATAGCTGATAGTTTTTTTGTTTTATTTTGTTTTTCCTTTTTCGTTTTTTTCAGCATCCAACTGATTAGACTGATTTTGTTTCTTTTTATTTTTTCCCAGATGACACCTTGATTTCATTGCTGATAGTAAAATCTTAAACAGAGAGAACAATTTCTTCTTAGCATAATTCATAGAAAAGTATGTTGATGTGTTATAGAAGCCTAAGCTGAGGTGTTTGTACTTAAATGACACAGTTGTAGAAGATATTAGAATTTGAACTGTACCTTATACGTCAGCTTGTTCTATTCCTCCTTGTATGCATAAGAAAAACTGAGATCTACAGAAGATTAAATTATTTGATCCCAAAGCTAGTAAGTGACAGCTTTCTCTTCCAAGTTTTGCTGTCAGTCTAGTGCTTTACCTCACTGACTTAATTTGGTTGTCTTTGGGGCAGCTCTTCACATTGTTTTAGCAGAGAATAGCAGCTAGTGTGTTTTGGTGACCGAGCAGTGGTGTGTAGGAGGCATTGAAGACAAGTGCATTATTAGGGTTTTTGGTTACAAGTAACATTTTTTTTTTTCCTTTTTGTCTTTTTTACTGACCGGTAACGGGATCGCAACCCTCGGTGTTGCGCCCGCACCGTGCTCAGCCAGTGAGCGGGAACCGGTCTCCACATGGGATCCGAACCCTCGGCAGGAGCGCCGCCGCGCTCCCAAGCAGCGCACTCTCCAGTGCGCCACCGGGCCGGCCCTACAAGTAACATTTTTATCATATAGTTTATTATATTGTATAACACTCTGGAGATAGGGTATTTCAAAGATTTGTTAATTCAGAGCAAAAGGCCATAGTGAAAGATCCTAATCCATCCAGTGTTACCTCCCTCCCTCCCTCTTTCTCTCTCTTCCTCTTTCCTTCCTTCTTACCTTCTGTTTCTTTGTCATCTTCAGGTCCTTTGGTTAAGTATCAATTCTTTACATAGTCACTTTCAAGGGCAGAAAAAGATCTGTTTCCTCTCACATGTATCTTCTTAAGAGTGAATAAGCCCCTGAATGAACTTGTCTCATAGGTGATTGGCCAGAATTCCTTTAATGCCCAGGCTAAATGAATCCCTAGAAAAAGAAATGGAATTACCATATCAGAACTGGTTGTTGATGAACCAGAATTAATAGTTTGAGAGGAAATAAATGCTGTAAAAAGATTGCTAAATTAGATAGAAAATTGAATCATGTAACCAGACAATAAAACTAATCTTTTGGGCTATCTTCTCTACAGGACAGGGAGGGGGGAAAAACCTATAATACCTTGTCATTTTTCTACAAGTTAACTGCTAACTCGACAAGACTGTAAAATGGCGCCAGACTTAATCAGTTTTTAGTTAAATAGTTGCATTTCCTGAGAAAGTCAAATGAGCCTCAGGTGTGCTTATTAGAAATGCATGATATTAAAAGGTCTCTCAATCATATATTTACCTTATTTCCAACTTTTGATTACTTTTATCAACGGGAGTAAATGGTATTGTCAGGAAAGATGGTATAGGAAGAAAAAGATAATAGGATAAAAGGCCCAGTTCCAATCTATGCACATTATTCCAAATTAGGGAATTTTTTTTACCATGTTATTTGGCCTTTTTCTGCTGGCTGGCCTTTACTTTTTTTAGTTTCCCTCACATGCTGTCAATTACCCATTCTTCTCTTTCTTGGCTTAATGCTCACAGTAGTTTCCTCTGTGACACTGGCCACTAAAAAGGTTTTAATTTTTACTTAAATTCATAAATAACATTCATAAATGCCAACCAAATTAATTTAATCTTTAGAAACTAAGTTAAAGTACATAACAGGACCTGACATGGTATGTAGCACCTAAGTGTTTTGTAAGTATTATTTGAATATTAACATAACTCACTAGAATAAGCTTCCTGTTGGCAGAGATGTATCTTATTCACTGTTATGTGTATAATGCCTAGTATAGCACTTGAAATATTGTAGGAATTAAATATTTATTGAATAGTTTTTAAGACTGGGTTGGCAGGTAGCTCAGTTGGTTAGAACATGGCCTTATAACACCAATGTCAAGGGTTTGAATCCCCATAGCAGCCAGCCACCAAAAAAAAAAAAAAAAAAAAAAAAAAATTTTGAGACCAATTTCATTTTTAAAATGAGGAATGCCTCATAGCAGTGTTCTTCAAACTCCAGTTATATAACCCCAAGAAGAATTTTTTTTTAAAGTCCATACCTTCTGAATATTTTTAAATTGACATTTAAGTTTTCCATCATAAGTTTAAATAGTTGTAAAGGATGTAATTTCTAGTTAGGAAATATTGACATATTTAAATAAAAGTGTTACATCAATTTTAAAATGTATGCAGCAGAATATAAATACCATAGGATTTTAAATATCATCCACTTAAAAAATACATGAGTGAACCCCTTCACTAACCATTATAATTTTTACATTGCTTCTTTCTCTTCTTGAATTTTTATTTCTATTCCCCTTTCTCCCACAGAATCTTATCCTAATGTAATATATTTTTAGACTTGAAAACCTTCTACTAATCCGTTTGATTAAAATTTTTAAAAATTTTTTTGTGATTTCTGGATCATCTTTGTAATTATTCACGATACACAGTTGATCAAAACAGCATAAATGTGTTACAAATTCACCAAATTTTTTAGGCAAAAAGAAGTAAAATGTTATTGGGAATGTTTCTTTTGAACAAGATGTGGCAGAACATATTTTTGGACCTTTGATTAAAGGAAAATCTCTTAAGTTCAACATTTGAATTATTCCTTTGTTTGGCCCTTCAGAGGTTTCTACACCTCAGGGCAATGTGCTGTCAGTAGACTCAGAGTATGCTTTGATGGTAGACATGCTTTACTGTTATTTATCAGGTTGGAGATAGGACCACAGTGAAAGCGGAAGTGGGAAGGTAAACTCACGTGATGCTTCCAACATAGCATGGTATCAGGCAGTACAGTTTTACAAAGAGTATGTGTGGGAATCAGGGATTTCAAAATTGATTCCCATAAAACTCTCTGGGCCCACATACATGTTAGTAAATCTTTGTCTACCCTGAAGTCTATAGTATGAAGATTGCTACCTTAGAGGATAATTTGTAGAGATCATTTTAACTGGATTGTCATAAATGTGGTTCATTGAACAAGAATGTAGTGAATATGTGTTGTTTCTTCTATCTCTTCTTTTTCCATTCCAGGTGGTTCTGGCAGGAATCAATCACACTACCTCATCTCCCACAGGGAGCCTGAACAATCATATTAATCCTGTTTGTTTGGATATAGTAATTTGTCCAGCAATAAGCATAAAAACTAAGCAGATCAATGAAAGTCTTTCCCTGGAATTGGTATATAAATACTAGGGAAAAAATTTTTACTTTCTTTCTATTGGGAGCTGCTAAACTGGGAATATGTGAGTTTAGAGCTGTTGGCAATCATTTGAGGGTGCCTGTCTGTAGAAGGAAGATGAGCAGAACTAAGAGGCAGGGAGGCCAAACCAGGGGCCTCATGGGGCACAGCATTCAGTCCTTGAGGCCTTGGTTCCTGAAGCTTTTCTTTTGATTCTGTGAGCTACTCTAGTATCCTTTTCACCTACATGAGCCATTAAATTACTTTTTTTCTTTTTGCTTAATAAGTTAGTTTGAGTTTCATTTTTGTTGCTACTGACATAATTTTATGAATAATTCAAAAAAATAAACTCAAAGTGTTGTGAAATATCTGATGTAAAATGAGTAATTTTGAAAATTTGTCTCTTCTAGATTGTTGGACCTTCAGATGGAAGTAGTTACATTATAGATTATTATGGAACCAGACTTACAAGACTGAGCATTACTAATGAAACATTTAGAAAAACACAGTTATATCCATAAATATTTTTAAAAAGAAACAGTAAGTGATATCTATATCTAATTTTAATTATATATTATCCATATAAAAATATGAGAATGTTAGAACCATAGGAAATTTTAAGAGATCATCTAGTGTCGTAAACCTCTCCCTTTGCTTATGAGGAAACTCAGGTCTACATATGCCTGAAACATCTCTAAACATTTTTATGTATGCTCATTGCTCCTGCAGTTCTCAATTTAGACTCTCTCTTTGCCAGGAATATTGTTAAAGAACAAAGTTCCTAAGGAAAAAATAATATCAAAGCAAAAGGATATTCATTACATAATGGTTCTGATGAAAGTATGTGCTGTAGATAGTTCTATATAGCAGATGTTTTCTGCTGTCCATCTCTCCAAGGGTCAGTATAATCTTTAACCTCCTTCTTTTCTTGTCCTTCCCTAAACCTGAAAGTTGATAGAATCTGAACCCTGAACTACCTGTAAGCACTTATTCTAACCTAAAGTTTGGCTCTGCCCATGAGAATTATTTATTGGCCTCAGCTTTAAACAGGTAATACCTGTAGAAGTCAGAGATACCATCAGTTTTCTCTGATCAGTTCAACTCTCTGGTTCTCTAGGACTCTGCTACTATAAGGTTTTTATTTCAATTACCGTATGTTAGTTTATTCTAATAAATAACCTTCCAATAATGCAAGATTTTTCTCAGAAAGGAGTTTGGTAGAAAGTCAGGAAAGCCATTTCCTGGTGTAATCATTCCTGTAATGGAGAAGTCCCATCGAACATGTAGAGTGTACTTCTTAGGTAATAGTTTACTTTGAACTACCTAGCAGCTTTCAGAGAGACAGACAGGCAAAGAGAAAGACAGGGTAGATGGCTTGGCCATCATCATAGTACTAGAATTTCAGTCAGCTGTATCTCAGAGACTGTTTCTAGAGGCCAGGAAGAGAATAAACATTTGCTTTCTATATTGTAGTAGTGTATAAAAAGCATATGAAATATAATTTTGCCCTTCGAGTAGATTTTTATTTCTCACAGTAAAATTATGGGATATGCCTTATAGTTATTGTCATGGGATTGAACAGTGACAGATGTTGCAAGGCGTGATTAATTTATTTAATTGATTGCCCAAAAAGTTTTTCAGATCTTATAAACTGTAAGTCACTGAGTTTTAAAATTGAAGTGAACCTTAGAGATCCATTTGCATCTTCTTACTGGGGAACAAATTGAGACCTAGGAAGTCGAGACTAAGACATATAACTAATTAATGCAGAGCTGAAACTGGAATCTAGGTCTTCTATACATTCTATGATATGGTTGTTTTCTACCTTCCACCCTCCCCCACTGCCCACCAATGATACCATTTTGTATTAGGCATCTTCATTTTAGAAATCATTTCTCCTACTTTATGAGAAGTGTTGTGTAGTTTCATTTAAACTTATTCATACTATAAATTGTGTCTCTTTTAAAAGATTGTTTTTAAACCATAAGGTGTAAAAATTAAGCAAATGCAATTTTAAAAAGTGGTTCCATTTCTGTAGCTTATTATGTAAACATTTAATTGGGATTCCAGACTCAGATTTGAACCGTAAAACTTGAAGGACCCATAAGAAAGGAGATATCTACGTTGTCATTCATGTTATCTCTCTATAATATATAGAAGTGTTCCAAGAATAAAAAAATGTCTTGAGTAAATGAAGCGTTAAAATGTGCATCTGTAGTAACCTTATTGGACTTTTAAAATATTGTGTTTTAACATATTTCTTTTTTCTGTTTTAGGATTTGAGTCTCCTTGATTTTTAACTGCCAGTATGTGGATTTCCAGATTTTCCTTTTTCCTTCTTCACATACCACTTTATGGATTCTATATAATTTTTTTCATTGTGGTTATTTTTGTTAAAAGTATATTATTCTGAGATTTATTTAATAGGACTTTCTTTGAGAGCTGTTTAATAGGTCTTTCTGAGGCTACTGTCTCTGTGAGATAGATAGCTTATTACTCTGAAATTCTTTAATGTCTTTTACAAAGGCAAGTTACCACTTGTCATTTTTGCTTCTGAAAAATAAAAATATTGCTTATTCACATTTTTAGTGCTTTATAATTAAGAAAACCTTCCTAAATGTTGAATGTAGCTGTCTTCTGCATTTTAATCCTTCAAAGCAGTTCATCCATGGTATGAACAAATACTGTGTATATTGGATGGGGCTGCAGTCTTGTGTATCACGACCTACCTGGTTTTCTGCAGCTTTCAGATCTGTCTTTGCTGTGGTATCCAGGGAACTAAAGATCATCAGGGAGTCTGAAACCTTGAGGCAACATGGGTACTTCTGGCATCGATTCAGGCTTCTAAAGTGTGAACTTTTACTTTTTTTGCTTTGGGAGTGATGCGCTAGATTTTGGAAGACCAGATACTGACTCATCTAGCTCACTGTGGTTATATTTGGAGCTGGATGGACAAGGTGGAAACACCAAACAGATGATTAATGTCTTCCATCTGTCAGCACCACCAGGCAGATGCCAGCACAGGTGCCTTAAGTGATGCACCAGTGTCTGAAGGAAGCAGCACCTGTACATTAGCACCTAGGTTTTCTTAGCATGTTCAAGAGGTTTTGAGAAGATGGAAATACACGAAATGTTATGTCCCCATAATATGAATACTATCCCACTCTTTCTTTAGTGAAAGACATTCCAATTTCAAAATTACTAGGGTCTGGGCTCCTCAAGAGTAAAAATCTTAAATTTTTATCACTCATTTTCCTCAAAACTGTATAGTATAATTCACCTCATAATATGTTAGTAATTCAGTAATACCTTCTCCAGTTGATGGGAAATTATTAAATATTGATGGGAAATTACTAAATATTGATGAAGTGAATTGTTCCTAATAAGCAGTAGGACCATCTCTGATTGATTCATTAATTAAATGTGGTCTAGCATGTGGGAGGCACTGTTCTATGTGGGGATGCAGCAGTAAAGAAGACACAAAATCCCAGCCGTTTAGGAGCTTATATTCTCTTAGGATCCACTTTCTCACGGTGATGATATTTTTGGTCACAGAAAAGTTAATTGGTAAATGCCCATTTTCTAGTATTCCCTACTTCCTGTAGGTTGCAGACAGTGCTTTGAAGTTTACTTCAGTAATACCTAAGCCCAGATTTTAAAAGTCATAAGTTTACAGTCACGTAAGTTCAATTATATGTGAAATACCTGCAGTCAAATCATGAAAAGTAATCTTGATTCTTGCATAATCGTTAGTCATTAACTTGGCCAGGTGTGAAGTCTGTTTCAAAGCAGGTGCTTCTTAGAGTATTTATTCAAATTATGCCCTGAAAGGGTTGTTAAGTTTAGAAATAGTCACTTCACAATACATTATTAAACCTTTAGACTTTATTTTCACTATAGTTTCCTAACTTTACACAAGAACACTTCCAGTTTGCTTAATTCTCTGTTGCCTAATGTATGTAATTCCTTAACAAGTTTTTATTTATTTTTTAAACCTATATTTATATATTTAAATTCTGTCAGGTTTTTTTTGTTTGTTTTTCATGGAGCACTATTACTTTATGGCTGTTCGTTAGTAGCATGTGTGAGGATAAATTATATGCCTCTCTATCAGATGTTTTATATGATACCCTGCTTTTAGAACAGTGGTCAAAATTGTGAGGTGGATTAGCTCAGTCATTTCTTGTGTTAACTCCTAAACCATTTAGGGTAAATGGAATGGATTCTCTCAGTCCTACAGAAACATTTAGTGCTCTGTAGCTGTCATTTACAAATGGTACTATTTCAGTGTGAAAGGATTAACAGACTTTCCACAAGTACTTACCTCTTTACCCAGAAAGATTTCTTATCTACACTATGTTGAACTAAAGGACTTCTTTAAGACTTATGTCTACAGCCAGTATTTGTTCATGGGACTGCTAAGAGTATAAGAAATATTGGTTTGGGGATAGGTTTTGTTTTATTTTGTTTTACAAAAAGCTTTTTGTGTCATTTTCTCTTATTTTAACCTAGGTGTATAAGGCTAAGTTGAGCATTATAATGTTGACAGATAGATAGGAAACTAAAACAGATCTAATAGCAAGAAATTGGTTAGGGGGAAATTAGTTCTTAGTTCTTTTTTCTTTTCTTTTTGGCTGGTGGCTGGTATGGGGATCCAAACCCATGACCTTGGTATTATTGGCCCCACACTCTAACCAAGTGAGTTAACTGACCAGCCCAGTTCTTAAAAGTAAAAATCTAGGATATTGGTTCTGTTTTCTTTCAAACATTTTAAAAGTAGGTAGTCCCAGGGTCTGGCATCTTTTCTCTTCCCTTCTCTCATTAAATCAGCATCTATTGTGCTTTTTTCTATTTACAAAATTAATACAAGCCTAATATAGAAATTTGGGAAAACAAAATAAAACATCTCATTCCAGAGCCCAAAGATAACAATGTTAGTGTTTTTATGTCCTTCTAGTAGTTTTTCATGTGTGTGTGTGCATTTTCTTTACAAAAATGATGTAGTTCCCTTACTATTTTGTAGCCTGCCTTTTCACACTGTACAATTTTTTTTACTTCAATAAATATTCTCTTTAAAAATGATTTTTAATGGCTGTAGAGTATTTCCCTGTCTGTGTCATAAGTTATTTATGCAATTTCATATTGTTTGGTATTTTTTATTCAAATGAATGATGAACATTTCTGATTTTTTCTCTAGAATTGTCATTCTTAGTCAATAATCATATAATAAAGTTTTTTTTTTTTTTTTTTTTTTTAAAAAGGATGACCGGTAAGGGGATCTCAACCCTTGGCTTGGTGTTGTCAGCACCACGCTCAGCCAGTGAGCAAACCGGCCATCCCTATATGGGATCCGAACCCGCGGCCTTGGTGTTATCAGCACCGCACTCTACCGAGTGAGCCACGGGCCGGCCCATAATAAAGTTTTTGATACATATATGTACAGTCTCAGTTAACCAGGGCTTGGAGAAGGAATGAAGTCAAATAGCTCAAACTCAGGTTCAAATAAAACCACAGTCAATTCCCAATTACCTTGGTGCAGATTAACTGTGGATAAGACACTGCAAGGACCTGAGTCTGTCCCTTGGTTTGTAATTAGGTCTCTGCTTATTAGTACTGATTGCTGTTCCTCATATCCCAGGGCCTGGGGGAGAAGAGCAAAACTTTGAGACAAGGGTAGCTACTGGGGAGAGGGGGCTGGTTATGAGAATTTGAGAAAGATAGCATATCTGTTTGGCATAGGATGTCAGATAGTTGAATGTGTTATCCAATTCCCTTCCAGAAAGGTTCAAGACAAGGGAGAAGAGTTTTAAGAAGGAGTAAGTAGGAAACTTATTCATAATGGTCTTGGGCTGGCCGATCAGCTCAGTTGGTTAGAGCGCAGCCTTTAACACCAAGTTCAGTTCCCCATATCAACCAGCCACCAAAAAAAAAAAAAAAAAAAAAATACGGAGAAGAGTTTTAAGAAGGAGTAAGTAGGAAACTTATTCATAATGGTCTTGGGCTGGCCGATCAGCTCAGTTGGTTAGAGCGCAGCCTTTAACACCAAGTTCAGTTCCCCATATCAACCAGCCACCAAAAAAAAAAAAAAAAAAAGACATAATGGTCTTTAGTTTCCCTTGCTGAGAGGGATAGGGAAGTGGGTAAACTTGGAAAATGAGAAAATTTACTAATTAGGAATGACTAAAAGAACTATGAATAGCAATGAGTACCCAAATGAGGCCTGGGATAATGCATTTGAGCTAATCAGCTTGTTAAGAGTTATTCATTCCTCTATCTTTTTTGTTTTTTTGGGTTTTTTTAGCAGCCAGCCTGTACAGAGATCCAAACCCTTGACCTTGGTGTTATCAGCACCACAATCTACGTTCTGACCAACTGAGCTAACCAGCCAACCCCTCCTTCCTATATCTTTAAATAAAGCTTAATATCTTAGTAAACGTAGCAATACTCTTAAAGTTAAGTAATTGTCTGATGGAGGAAGAATATTATTTACTTCCCTAGAAAATAGATACTTTTAAGAAAAATATTTGTAAAAAATATTAAGACTTACAAATCTTAAGATTTCAAGATTTTGACTTGTTACAAGTTGCTCTCCATGTGTAAGACATTGTGCTAAGCACATTATAAACTTGAAATCATTTAATCCTCACAACTCTTCCAAAGGGTCTTCCTGAAGAGACATTCTTCATTTTACAGATAAGTAAAGTGAGTCCCATAAAGGTTAAATGGCTTGCCTAAGGTCATAAAGTAAGTGGCGAAGCCAGGATTAAAACCCATGTCTATTAAATTGAAATTCCGTATTCTTGAGAGAGACCTGTGCTTTCCTGCCTGCAATTTGATGGTCAAAACCATCTCATTCTCTGAAACATACTGCTAATGGTTGGGTAATAAAAGACTATTCTTAATGAGTTGCTTCATGTTTTTAGTAAAAATGGAATTATCTGCCTATACTGAGCCCCTTGCTTAACAGATAGTTAGCTGGTTAAAAAATAAAAGAAAACTTATTCAAACTTTTCAACTTTACATCATGTAAATACTAAAATGTTTCATGAATTATCAAAGTGAAACTAAGATAGAGCAGTGATTATTGTCAAAAACCCAAATGTCTTTCTGCTGTCTCCTCATCTGACATTTGCAGCACTTTCTGGACCAAGAGTCTGGCCATATTAGCTTTGGGGATTGTGTTTGTATGGGAAGGGGAGAGATGTTGGGTAGGGCCACACCATCAGGCTCTACTTAGTCTTGCTGAGATCAAAAGAAGCTAGACATTGGTAGGTTGTGAGATTGCAGGTCATTTTTCGTTTGGCTTATCTGAATTTTCTAGTATTTCCACAATAAACATGCATTATTTGTATGCATTTATTTGACCCAATAATTAATAATACGGGTAAGGTAGAACAAGGAACCCAAGAAAATCTTCTTCTCTTCTTCTCTTCCCCCTTCCCACGTCAAGATACACTTAACCTGATATCTGCTGTGATCCTGACTTTAAGTGATACATTTAAAAGGAAAAAGCAGGAGTAACACTTTATCAAAGGTTTGGCATCCAAGCAGCACAGGATGATGGGAAAAGCAAAGACTGGAATC